TGTCTTAAAACAACAGATATAATTTAATAAGTATGGAATTGTTAGATCTAATACTAAGATGCACTCTCTGTGACCACAAAAGATCATGTCAACTCCAAAGACTACTAGGTATATGTGCAAATGTTCACTTAGAAAAAGTCCAAGTTTGACTATATTCTAAACATAAAATGGAGCATATTTCTAAGGCCTGAAATCAAAAAAATAAGGTTTGCTCTCTAATTAGTAATGAGACATTAGCTTTATGTAGGATATTATTTGGTGTTCTCATGGCTTTTAGCAATACTTGGTAGCAAAAACCAGGGACATGATTATACAGTACATCCAATTTGTCTGTGGTTCCATTGCCCTCTAGTGGCTATTTAGGAACTAGTTCTCAAAAGTGACACTCAAAATTTAAGCAATGAGTTGGCACAAACCTGTAATCTCAGCATTTGGGAGGCAGAGGCAGAAGGGTCACCACAAGTTTGAGGCTAGCCAGGGCTACACAGTGAGTTCCAGGCCAGTCTTAACTACAAAGTGAGATCCTGTCTCAAAAAACAGCAATGGTTCTCAAAGTAGGATGGGGAGAACAACAGAATCAGATCATCTGAGAACTTCTAAGACATTCAGATTTCTAGCCCTATCTAAGACATATTTAAAATAAAATCTGGAAGTGATAGCCAGCAATGTTTTAATGGACCCTCTAGATGATTCTGATACATGCTAAAGGTTGAGAAACATGAGTTTAAGGCACATTTAGTATTTATATTTGGAGTAGATGTGAAAGATATATGCATATGAGTGTTTTTACCAGAATACTTCCCACAATTGCTTCTCCTTTTTTTATAAACTTCAAAAAGGCCTTTTATATGTGCACAGAACAATTCAGAAAAGCTTCTTAGTTGGATTTTTAAAATGCTACAAAGTATGACTGGATACAAAAGACAAGGGAATAAAGTGAAAGAAAATTAGATATTGAAAGTTCAACTATCCAAAACATCTGACTAGAGTGTAACCATTAGTTTCTTGGCTACAAAATCAACAGTAATGTTTGTTGAATAGAATGCATATTTAATCCAGGTTTGTGTAGGATATTTAATATTCAGAATGTTTAGTAGATGTGTATTTTTCTATTTTCCATTACATAAATTGCTAAATCCTTACATATATTGCTAATTAGATTATTCAAACTATTAGTGACATGATCCAGCCCTACCCTAAGACTGAAAAATATTTGGGCAGGAATTTTTTAAAAAGTATATTTGATCAAATAAATAATTTAATAATTTTAAAATAATGTATAATAATGTCAACTCTGGTGCTGATTGTGACTTATTCTTTAGGGATATGGTTCTACAAAATTAAACTGTATGTGAAGTCAAAAGTTTGATATTTGATCTCTGTGAATTTCAGCAAATTACCTAAATTCTATTAGTCTTTGTTTTCTCAATTCAAGGAGAGTGATGATGATAATCATAGTTATATTGTGTGGTTTTTGTGGACACCAAATAAGTCAGGATAGTCAATGTAATATAAATATAGTTAGTATTTGTGTCATTTACTATGAAATGAAAATTTCAAACATTACAGTAAACATTATGAAAGATCACTTGTCAGTTTCCATAAATGCTGAAAGCAGCAGAATTCTATTCTACACTTGTTTTGGATTTTCAACAGTACCTAGCAAAGTACTAGACACAGAGTGCTTATAGTACTTACAGTATAGTTTTCAAATGCTTTGACAGTTGACATGTTATGTAAACACAAAGGTGTTTACCTTTCTCGAGAGCTACATAGCAGTTGGTTTGGGATCTTTTGTTTTGGTTTGGTTTGGTTTGGTTTTTGTGTTTTCATTTTGATGATGCTCTTTAAAAAATTAACACAAAGGAAGCAAAAAAAATCCTCCACAAAAACAAATAGAATCCCACCCTCCCAGTGTCTCTCTAGTGAAAACAATCAAGTCTTTTCCTGTTGTCTTGAAAATGCATGCATGTTCTTCCAACATGGTCCATCTTCTCTAGATAAAACATGTCCTCTTCTATTTGGTTGCATTCTAGCATGATAGACCATAAAGAAAAGGCCTTTGGATTTATATGAAATTATAAGGCTAATTTTTCTATTAGCAAGAGGGAACACTTTTTTAAGGACTCATTCATTAAGAACTAATATAAAGAGTGCTGAATTTAAAAAGAAAAGGCAGTTTGACAGAAAAACTTGCTTTTAGGAGTTCAGCTTAAGACAATCATACATTCTATTATACCATGATCCTAAATTTACTTCTTACCAAGAGGAATTATGCTCAAAATTACTAAAGTTATTTCTGCACCTTCTGTTCCACTTAGGTCTAGGGAATATTTTATACTGTTTTTATCATGGTAGCTTTGTAATATAACTTCAAATAAGGGATTGTGATGCCCCCTGGCTTGCCTTTGTTGCCCAGAATTTCTTTTGTTATTCTAGGTCTCTTCTGGTTCCAAATGAATTTTAGGAATACCCTCTCTAGTTCCATGAGGTATGTTATTGGTATTCTGTTCAGGACTGCATTAAATCTGTGCAACAGTTTTGAAAATATAGCCATTTTCATTATATTGGTTCTGCTTATCCAAGAAGAGGGAGTATCTTTCCATTTTCTGATGTCCCCCCTTTAATCTCCTTTTCAAACTACTGTACCTTCAATGTATAGGTATTTCATTTCCTTCCTTAGATTGAAGTATTTCACTTTTCTTGATGCTACTGTGAAAGGTGCTGTTTCCCTAATTTCTCTCAGTGAGTCTGCTGTTCATGTACAAGGGTACTGATTTTTGAGTGTTGACTTTGTATCCTGCTATGCTGCTGAATTTGGTTATTAGTTCTAGAAGTCTTTTGGTGGAGTTTCTGGAGTCTTCTATGTAGAATATCAACAGCAAATAATTATGATTTAACTTCTTTCTTTCCTGTATTTATGCTTTTTATTTCTTTCTCTTGTCTAATTGATCTGGATAATGTTTCCAGAACTACATTGTATAGGAGTGGTGATAGTGGGCATACTTGTCTTGTTCCTAATTTGAGTGAAAGCTTTCAATTTTTGTCCATCTAGTATGATGTTGACAGTTGATATGCCATAGATGGCTTTTATCAGACTTAGATGAAGACCTATTATAATTCTCTTAGAGATTTTATCATGAAAGGGTGTTACACTTTGTCAAATGCTTTTTCTGCATCTACTGAGATGATCATATAGTTTTTGTCCTTGGTTCTGTTGATGCGTTGTATTACATTTATTGATTTTTATATGTTGAACCATTCCTGCAATTTATCTCTGGGATTAATCCTACTTGGTCATGTATAATCTTGATGATTTGCTGCAGTCTGTTTGCTAGTATCTTATTGAAGAAATTACATTATTAAGGAGATTCTCTTCTTTTTTGGTTGGTTCTTTCTCTGGTTTGGGTATCAGGGTAACACTTGCTTCTAGGGATGAGTTTAGGAGTGTTGCTTCCCTTTCAATTTCATTAAAGAGTTTGAGGAGTAGTGGCACTAGATCTTCTCTAAAGATCTTGTAGAATTCAGCAGTGAGTCCATTAGGCCCTGAGTTTTTCTTTATGGGTAGTTTTTTAATTACTTCTTTATTTTTATTGACTGATATTGGTTTATTTAGAGCTGTTTTATCTTCTTGATTCAGCTTTGGTAATTCATATGCATCAAGGAATCTAACCATACCTTTTGAGTTTTCCATCTTTTTAGAGTACAGCTTCCCAAAGTAGGTATTGATGATCTTCTACATTTCTATAGGATCTGATGTGATTTTTGCCCTTTTCCTTCTGAACTGCATGAATTGGGTCTCTTCTTTCCTCATTTAAAATGCAGTTTACTAACCTTTACTAGAAGAAATACAGACTTTTCAATAAATGGTGCTGGGAAAACTGGCTTTCTATATGCCAAAAACTGAACTTAGACCCATATCTATCACCATGCACTAAAGTAAAATCAAAGTTCTAAATACAGAAACAGAAATAATTAGCTGGAAGTTAGAATAGGTAAAACTCTAGAAGATATAGGAGTGGTCAAAGACTTTATGAACAAAACCTCAATCACACAGGGAATATTACAAAAAATCAACAACTGGGATCACATCAAATTAAAAAGCTTTTGCACAGCAAAAGAAACCACCAACGTGGTAGAGACAACCCCCAGAATGGGAAAAAACTTTTACCAACTGCTCCTTTGACAAAGGACCAATATTTAGAATATATAAAGAACTCAAGAACAAGAGTCCCAAAAAAACCCAATCTAAAAATGGGCATCTGAAATGAATATTTATTAGATGAAGAAATACAAATGGCAAATAAATATATGAAAAATATTCAACATCACTAGTTATTCAAGAAATTCAAGTTAAAACAACACTGAGATTCCATGTTCCTCCAGAAAGAATGGCTATCATCATGAAATCAACAAGCAACAAATGCTGGTAAGGCTGTGGGGAAAAGGAACCCTTCTCTGTTGTGAATGAGAGTGTAAACTGGTACAATCACTATGGAAATCAGTATGGAGATTGCTCAAAAAAACTAAAAGTAGATGTTCCATTTGACCCAGGTGTTCTCCTTCTAGGTATCTTCCTAAAAGAGTCAAAAGTATCATACCACAGTGATATATGCATTATCATGTTAATAGCAGCATGATTTTTTAAAATTAAATAAATTTTTATTTAAGGAATTTCACATGTTAATTCCTTCAATATTCATCAAGGTCACTTTAATGAGGTTCTTTGTCTCCAAGATAGCCCTTTTTCAAAGGGCTTAATCCAGTCATCCTATCTACCCTGTATAAGAATATAAAAGGCAATTACATAGTCATCAATGAGTTCTAGAGCCAGCCTACATCACTTAGTTCCTCTACTTGTAAACTTATTAGCAACTAAAAAGAGTAACAATGTAGATTAGCTAGGGAAAGCAAGCCTCCAAAGATCTAAGCATGCCTGTGGTAAGAATTTTAAATGTGACTCTTGTAAATAATACTGGACAGTATTCACCTAAGGAATGTAATGTTCCCAACAGGTTGATTGCTAAAAAGTAGCAGAAAGAAAACCTAGTGGAAAATTCTTTTATGGTCACGTCCACAGCAAGTGAGAAACTTCATTCTAAAAGCAGAACAATTTATAGTAGCTAAATATTAGAAACGATCCATATGCCCATCAACAGATGAATGGGTAAAGAAAATGTGTTTATATACAATAAAATACTACTCTGCCATAAAGAAGGATAACCCTGAGTCATTTTTAGGAAAAAGGACACACCTCAAGACCATAATCTTAAGTGAAATAAATCAGACACACAAGTTTAAACATTGCATTGTTTCTCTTATGTTAGAAATCCAAAGGGTAAATGGGGAGCATAATGGAAGACAGATGTTGGGAAGTAGGAGGAACATATTCGAATGGGAAAGGGAACAAGGGAAGGGGAAAGAGAAGGAAGAGAAAAGGAAAAAAGAGAATGGAAGGAAAAGATGGAAACAAAGCTTTTGCAAATAGGGAGAGGAGGAGGGGTTAAAGGGTAGGGAGGGAACTGGGATAAAAAATTAAGATATATTATGTACAGGTGATTTTTATATACAAATTGCCTTTGATGAATGTGATCAATGCACATGACAAATATGTACTAATAAAAAATAAAGTTAAAAAACTACTAAAGTATCATTTTATTTTAAATGTTTTGCTCATTTTAAACAGTTTGGGTTTGCTTGATGTCAAGTTATATAGATCTTTATATATTCTGGATATTAATCTCATCAGATACAAACATTTCTCTATAGAAGATATACAAATGTCTAATAAACTCATGAAAAGATGCTCACCATCAGCAATCAGTACAAAACTAAAACAAACTGCAAAGAGATAACGCCCCATACCCATTAGGGGAGCTATTACTAGCAAAAGGGAAGAAGGAAGAGGAACAGAGGAAAGGAAACAGAATGGATGAGAAGGAAAGAGAAGAAAAGGAAAGAGAAAAGCCAAGGGAAGGCAAGGGAGGGGAGAGGAGGGGAAGGGAGGCAACGAAAAAGGAAAATAAAACCAGAAATAAAAGTATTAGTGATGATACAGAGAAATTAGCAACTTTTACACACTGTTGGTGGGATTATACAATAATGCCACCACTAAGGAAAGTAAGATGAATGCCCTTGAAATATTAACAACTGAATTACCATTTGATCCAGCCAACCTACTTCTGAATATATATCAAAGAAATTGAAAGCAGGCTGCCCAAAAATATTTGCAAATCCATATTCATTGTTGCATTATTAACAATAATCAAGAGATGGAAGCAAGCCAAATGTCCTAAAGATGAAGAGAGAAAATGTGCTATATATATAACAGGTTATTGTTCAGCCTATAAAAAGAAGGAAATAATGCTATAACAGAGGTAGCAAACCTTTTAGAGACCAAGCACCCAAACTATAATCCAAGACCCACTTATTTATCACAAAGTGTCAATACTACAATTAAACCAGAAAATTGAGGTTTTAGTTTAGAAAAACCAACTCATACATTAACAGATTTTTGTCTTAAAAGAAAAACAGTAACATGCTTGCTATAAGTTCATCAGCACAGCTGTAAAACGTATAAAGCTTCAGGACATTATGCTAAATAAGCCTGTTACAGAGACAAACAATATATGATTCAACTTGTACATCAAAAGTAGTCAAACTCATACAGTAGAACTGCAGTTGCCAGAGGGAGGGGAAAACAATTGTTCAATGGTTATAGAGTCTAAGTTTTACAAGATGAAAATGTGCTAGAGATCTGTTACATAAGGTAAATATAGTTAACACTACTGAATTGTACTTAAAAATGGTTAAGATTGCAAATTCTATGTTACATGTTTTTATAATTTTTTTTTTTTTTTTTTTTTTTTTTTGGGGGTTGAATTTGGGTCCTTTCCTTTTTTTTTTTTTTTTTTTTTTTTTGGTACCGGGGATTGAAC